CGTAGAGGATTATGAAGTAGAAGGACCTTGGTATACATGTGGATCAATAAGATAGTGGGGAATCCAATAGCTCGAAGGCTGGAGAGAGACTTTTCAATATACAACGGTTAGATGTTGATGCATTTACGTTTTAATGCATTGCTAGAACAATATTCTACTTTATGTCCTGACATTGGTAGTAGTCCCCTCTTCAGTCTTGGCCCCTCATCTTGAGACCTCACTCCTTGCTCTTGGTATTTCCTCCGTAGCTTTGCTTGTTCATGGAAAAAATGGCTAAGGCATGAAGGCAGACCACATGCCACATATGGGTGGATACTCGAACCACGTGCTTCAAAATAGGAAAAATACTTCACCACTTTGAGAGCGGCAGACTTGGCCAACTTAACCAAAATTTACCTAATGGTATTACACCACCCTAACCACCTCATACCCTCCTGACCATGGGGGTGGTATCTTGGTGACCCCCCTGACAACCTCATGGGGGCGATGTTGATCATGCTCCCTGGTCAACTATGGGGGCGTATGTTGGTACCATAGGGACCTCCTCGCCTTGGCCAAATTCGACCATTCATCTTTCTTTGACCGAACTCACGTCATCACTCCACCATACCACCCTCCTTGTCATTTGATAACCCCTTGACCATCTCATGGGAGTGTATGTCGTGACCCCGTGTCGTATGATAATCACCCCTTGATCGTACCATGATGGCACTATCATTCTCTATACTTAGCCATATTTCACTCCATGGTATTGCATCCCACAAGGGTCCTATGTTGGTGACCACCCCTTGGTCATATCATGGGGGTGGGGAATTATGGTGATCAGCCCCCTTACCACGTCATGGTGGTGGCGGTATGGTGACCTCCCCCCCCCCCCCCCTCACCACATCATGGAGGTGGCAGTATGGTGGCCAACCCCGTCGACACATCGTTAGGGTGACCCCAACACTTAGCCAAATTTTGGAACTGATGGCTAGAGTGGCGCATGATGGTATGGGGCTGTGGGCCCAAAAATCCAATTCTCGTGGACCACTTAATTGATTTAAATGTTATAATTAATTTGGCCTTATAAGGCCATTTAATCCCATGCCTTTAACTAATATGATACAAGGTTAATTTTTAGGGTAAACACTATTATTCATTTCGATCCCCGTCACAATAATATTCCTAACTCAAAGATCCCAATTCTGACACATTATCCCATACATTAGCCGATGTCCCCCACAGTAACAATATTAATATTAGCTATTAATAATCATCCATCAATCCACTCCCTTATACAACATCGTCTGCAAGGTTGGATGACGACGATGATGGCTTGATACATATTTTGCTTCATGTACTTTGAATTGCATTGGAGCATCTTCAGAGTGACGTAACCTTAATTATCTTTTACCCTCTTCCTCAACTTCCAATTTCCTGGCGCAACCCTAGTTTATCATCTTCTCCACCCGTCCACCCTCCATACCACTTAAAGAATCTTGTCCTTAAGAAATCAAAAGGAGAGATTTTTTAGGAGGAAAAGCAAACTAAAACATGGAAATCAGAGCTTAGGGTGTCGAAAAGCCTACCAAGTTGAGTTCAAGCCACACCCATCTTGAGTTCAACTCAAGGTAGGAGGATAAAATTGGCAAAGAATGCAACTTTGATCTTGGAGTAGAAGGAACCTCTGCATCATGCTCTACAACAAAGGAAGAAGAACAAGGAGTAGTTGTCCCACCTACTCTAGACAATGAAACTCTATGCATAGAAGATCCCATCTTTGAAGTGGATAAACCCCTTCAAGATCCCTTCACATCATCTTGTCAAAGTTATGAACAAAACTTTGAACAAGAAAAAGCAAGGATCAAGCATGAAAAGTTCTCCGTTTATAAGGGCACTCTTTGTGAAAAGATGGAGGATGACATTCCTGAAGTTGGACACCATGAAGAAAACTTCACGATCTTAGTGGAGATGCATCAAGGACTCAAGAGAGATCTCAATAGACTATTTGACGAGGATCCCTTTGCAGCATATTAAGAGAGCCATGAGACCGTAACATAATATTTAACCCAAAAAGGGGAATACACGAGTCCCTCCTTATATTAAGTGTATGGTGGAGACTAAGGTGGCTATTGCCTCATGATCCACTATCAAGCAAAAAGAAGGAAAAGGATGGTACACAAGTTGGAGCATGCAATCAAAATGGTGGACTTCAAGAAAGCCTTAAATTGGGGACCTTGAAGGAGTTATGCCTAGTTCTAAGACATAAAAGAAAGAGAGCTTCATGGGAGACAATGGGTACCCGCCGCTTAAATTCATTGTCCTGCACCCACACCACAAGGACTAAAAGGAGTCCGTATCCGAAGAAGAAACGAGCAGCGGTGCCCCCGACACCCTTTTACTTTGTCTCCCCTTTACCCTTCTATGTTACTAATTTTAGGGGTGGGTTACCCTTCTATGTTACTAATTTTAGGGGACGGGATTGAGTACCCGTCCCGTTTGAAACGGGTACCCAATCCCATTTGGAGAGGAAACGCCATCCCATTCCCAAACCCGTACGGGACGGATAACGGGTACCCGCAGGTACCCGTTATTATTTTAAAGAAAGAAAATTTAGCCACAATAAATAAGCTAAGCGGTAATAGATGTGTATGATAATTAGCCGAAAAACAGAATAATTTTACTCAACGAAGCAAATTAACTTAAGTACACCAAAGCCAACTCCAAAGCATAATTCTCGGCACCATGACCCTGAATTCCAGGAACTAATAAATTACACTCACCTGCACAACAACTTTCATAGCTCTCTGCTAACCAAATAACTCTACACTACTAAGGCCAAAACAAGGCCCAACAAGATGATGAAGTTCTTTCATTATGCTACTAGGTTGGTGAAGAAGCAACCTAATAGATGGGTGCATCTTTCAATATAATCATCCATCTTCTCATTTCACTTCCTTGTAATGCATCCATGCTTGAGCCATTTCTAAAGGAAAAGGTTCATATGCAAATGTGTATTATTACATAGGAATAAATCATCGAAAGAAGAATATGTATTATTACTTTAAAAAAGACGAACGGGTAGTACGGGTACCCATTGTAGAATTTCTTGATCCCAAATCTCATCCCGTAAAAAAATTACGGGTATTTGGGTACCCGTAAGCCTAAAAAAGGGGACGGGTATGGGTATACCCAAATACCCGTTTCTCGTTGCCCACCCCTAACTAATTTCTTTACGTTTATCTTTAAATGGGTAGTTGTCAAATTTGTGAATTGAGAGAATTTTGGGGCGGGACAAGATGCGGGAACTGAGCTGTTTGATGCCAACACTACAGGAAAAAACTATTATAACCACCTTAACTTCACCACCATATATAATACGGTATTTAATAGTCATTAATGAACCACCGTACCACGAACGGTAGTTAATAATGATTCATTAACCATGATATTTGTGTGGTTGTTTGGGGATGGGATTAGGTGCTAACCCTTATAGGGGTTAGCACCGTGATAACTAGCAAAAAACGTTACTAAAAATAAAGAAATCACTACAGATTATTATAAAATCAATACAACATCTAAGCTAAATCACTACTAATTCAAACTAGTAGTAGTTTTTCCCTTGATTAGGACGGTGCTAATTACTGTACAATTAGCACCTTAGCCGTTCCCGGCCTAAAAAGGTAGGTATTAGTTATGTGAGGACTGAAACTGAAAAGTCCTGTGGTTATTATAAACTTTCTTTTATTTAATTTCTTGTTCTTCTAAGCGCTGCGGGAGCGGTTACGGTGCTAATTGTACAATAGTTAGCACCGTTCTAACCAAGGAAAAACTATTATTAGTTTGAATTAGTAGTGATTTAGCTTAGATGTTGTATTGATTTTATAATAATCCGTAGTGATTTCGTTATTTTTAGTAGCGTTTTTTGGTAGTTATTACGGTTAGCACCTAATCCCATCCAAGCTCTGCTTGCTTTGCGGGAGGAAAGTATCTCCTCCTTCACCCGCTAACCGAGCAAGAGAGAAGTTCGACGAACGGCACACCCTCAACTCCATCTTCTCGATCTGAGCTCCTGCAATCCTTTGTCTCCAGCCGGCTCCGTCGACCACAACGACGGCGCACCCCTCCACTCAAGCATCTTAATACGACCCCTCAACACCAGGTTCTCGATCTGAGCTCCTGCAATTCATCCTCTCCAGCGAGCTCCGTCGACTATAACGGTGCTATTGGAAGTGTTTGTCACGCCCCGTAACTCCGTTGGATTTCGAACCAGAAGGTAGCCGACTCGTCCCTGTTATGGAAGCAGAAGGAAACTAATTTGAAGCTCCAGACACGAGAAATTAGGGTTCTACGATTGGAATTCGTTAGCTGCCTTCCATTTCAATCGAAAATACCGAGTTTTACAAGGGGAGTTCTCTCAGTCTGTCGTTCATCGTTTGGTGTGTGAGAAGACATTCGGTCAACCTTGGCTAGTATCCATTTGAAGGCTAAGCTGAACGTGGAAGGTGTGGGAAGGGAGGGAGGTCTTTGCTCTTGAATTGGGGGTATTGCTTCGATGCATAAGTTCTTATGGTCTATATTGTTTCTGGTCGTGTAGATTTAGGGTTTTGTATTAGATTTTTTAGTTTGTGTTGAACGAATGGTCTTGTCAGAGTAATGCTGAATGCTGAAAGACAAAGTGAATGTGTGCAAACAGTTCATTTCGCTGGATATGGAGCTTTGCAAGTGTTGCAAAGTAGTTACTTTTTCAATACAGAACCAAATTTCATAGTGCATCAACTTCATTTCTGGTGTATTTGAATGGGAGGTTGGAGAAGTAGAGTTACCTTTTATTTTTACGGGACTAATGAAGAGCTAGAATGCTCGTGATCATAGGATTCAGTTCACCATGTGAACCTGTGCCTGCAAAGTTTCGCAGGATTTAGGTTTTGGAATTTAATTTTCTGTGTGCTCGAGATTCATTTTCCCCAACCCTCACATAACATTTTTAAGTTTTCCAGAGTCATCCTAATATTAGAATGTCAACAACCGTGAGAAGAAGGCTTCATCATGGGGATATTGATGGAAAACGTAATGAGCATTACGAAATATCTGGATTAGACGAACCATTACTTCAGTCTCATGAGCTACACATTGAACCGAAAGGGGTGAGCTTTTTTCTCCCCCTTGAATTTATTTTCTTCTTCTTTGGGGTGTGAAGCACTGAAGTTCCTATTGTTGTAGGTATTTCTTGGAGATCTATTTAATGTTGATAGGACGAAGGAACAAATCCACTGGACATATCTGTTTACAAATGTCATTGCGCAGTGGGCACAATGGTTAGGTATGCTATTTGTTGTTTGAACTTTATAATGTTTTTTTCCCCCCCTGTATGGGATTCACAATGAAGTCTTTATGAGTTCATTTCCACGGGGTTTGTGAGTTTATTAGTTTGGGAATACCCAGATTGTGGATTGCTTGTTTTAATAATAAGGGTTTGAGTATCGTGCATCCATTGGTTTTTGTAGTTCTTTGCCTGATTTGCTGTCTTACCGCAGTGAAAACTTATCCAAGGTTCATTTGTTGTTGTGTTGCCCTGTATAGTTTACCACAATTCTTGCTCGAATAAACCTTTTGTTTGCATAAATGGTGCTTACTTTATAATGTCTGATTTTCATAGAGCTTGTTATCCTCAAAATCACATTTGTAATTATTACACACGAGTAACAGGCTCACTTCTCTTTTGTAGCAAACATTGTTGTTGGATCAAGATCTTTTATTGAACGCTTTTTGCCTGGTGCTTCCTCTAACCCCATTGGATCAAACACAAATCTTCGTCTGCCCTATCTCAGTCCTCTACAGGTACACCTGTTGAAAAAAAGTACATTGAGCTGCGTGCTTCATGATTTGAATGAATAATCATTTTGTTTGCACAATGTCATGTTCTATCACTTTTTTGATAGGGTGACATAGATTAGTTTTTATCGTTAGGTGCTGCTTAATGGATTCGAACTTGGGACCTCCAGGTTTATCACTTTCTTTCTTAACTGACAAATTATGCATCAGCTAAATTACGTTCTTGGCAACTTAATCTAAAATCAGCTCTGCCCCTCGTACTACTTAAGGTTTTTACTCTAAAAAGAAATTATCTGTAGGACAACTGAGGTGTGCATTATCTGTTATACTGTGAAAGCACATTCTAAATAATTTCCTGGCTAGCTCTATCTGTGCATCATATTCAAGGATTTATTTTATGATGGAATCTTGTCTAATCTATGTGATAGATTTTGAGAACTAATAAATCTGGTAATTGAGAATTTGAATTTGTATCTTTCATATATTTGTGTCTTAAGGAGGAGAGACTCGGCAATTTGCAGCGGAGGCTTGGAGTACCGTTCGATGATTCTCTAGTGGAGCATCAAGTATGCCTTTTTGTTCTATTTTCCTTTAGTTCATACTATCAAGTACATCCCTATTTGTCCCCTCACCATCACGTTGCCAAAAGGAATCCAGGAGTCTGTTTCTTGTTTAAAAATTGGGTGAATACTGCCAGCAAATAAGTTCATCTTATTTGGGTGTGCAGGATGCACTGAAACAGTTGTGGAGGCTGGCTTATCCTGATAGGCTGCTCCCATCACTTAAATCAGAACTTTGGAAAGAAATGGGCTGGCAAGGTTGTGACCCCTCGACTGATTTCCGGTATACAGATGATTCTTTTACCCGAGGCGACTCTTCTATAATTGCTGTAGCCATTGAAATCCCCGACTGATGTGGACATTTTCTTTGCTGTTTGAAGGGGTGGAGGATATATATCACTGGAGAACCTCATTTTCTTTGCAAGAAACTATCCGGTTTGTGCCTTGATATTTCCAGCCCAATGAACCACTTCATTCTTTAGTGGGATAAAAGCACGGCATGGGGTTTCGTGTTGTTTGTACTTAATTGCTTGGTGCTGACATTTGGTCAAACAGATCTCGTTCCAGAGACTGCTACACAAAATAGATGGGAAGAGAGCTGAGTGGGAGTATCCTTTTGCTGTGGCTGGCATCAACATTTCTTTCATGCTCGCACAAATGTTGGATCTTCAGAAAGGCTAGTTTCTTATGCTTCTGTTGCTTCGACAAATTATTGTTGTCAAGTCAAACCTTGAAAGTAAATGCTAACCGACAGTCCTGGAATTGCCAATTTGCAGGGAAGCCCTCAACCGCAGCAGGAATCCGGTTTTTGGAACTCCTGGAGCACGATGAGATGGCGTTCGACAACCTTTACTGTGTAGCGTTTCAGATGATGGATGCTCAATGGCTAGCAAAGCGGGCGTCGTATATGGAGTTTAATGTAAGCATACTTTTTTCGCCGGAGAGTTTTCTTCCTCTTTGGTGATTTGTCTCTGATGTAGTTTTGTATTGTTTGTTATGACAAAATGTTGCGAATACTGGGCAGGATGTTATGAAGTCCACAAGGACTCAGTTGGAACGCGAGCTCGTCCTGGAAGATGTCAACTCTGTGAAGGAGTTACCTGCTTACAATTTGCTTACAGGATAAACCAAATAACATATGGAAGATTTTGTACACTCCTGAAATTTGTATCTAAGCCATATTTGTATATTTTCCCACAATTCGATTGCCATTTACCTTAATAAAATGTAGGTAATATACACTTGTATAACCAGTAATAGTAAACTTTTGATAAACTAACAAATATAGCCTGAAAAATACTAACAAAACTCTCTAAAAGTACTAAAACAATCCGTCAAGAACGAAAATACGTTCAAATATCAAAATCGATGGAAATTAGGTTGGACCTGGTTTTCATCATATCCTCCTCCAAAATTCGCCCGCCCTTCTCAGTTTCTATTTGCGCAAGTATGGGTGTTCAAATGATGATTACTATGGTAATAACTAATAAGCAATAACCAAACCAATTAAGCTTAAATTTCATTAACCATGAAATAAAATGTTTTAACCAAACCGTCTAAATTAACATGAAAATCTAATTAACCAATCCAAAGTTTAATTGGTTTGGTTAATCGGATTAACCAAATAACATAACATTACATGAAAACAATTATCATATAAATGAGTAAAACATAACCATATATTATTACTATCATAAACTATCAATATATATAAGCAATAATAATAAGAACCATCATTATATATAAGCATAATAATCAGACTAACCATTCATGATTATCATCCTCATTCGAGTTAATACATCATTCATCATCTCTGCACCTAATATAGTTAGCTTACAACAAACCCTTAACATAAATATTAAATACATATCAATAGCACTCATCAGGAAGTTAAAGCTCTCCTACAAAATACTTAAACTGTACATAGTTTGAGGTGGCTGTCATGGTACTGTACATAATCCTAAAGTCTAGTAGTTGTCCAAAATGTTTTGGTTTAGTAAATAGGCATGCTCATTTAATTTTGACCCATAATGCTTTGGTTTTTTGAGCACATGGAAATAAAATAGGGAATCACGAAAGTTTGATTTGGTTGGTTGCATGGAAGTATAAATAATTTTGTATGCTACGTGTGTCGCAACTGCACCTCCGAAATCGGGGTACCCGTCACGAATTGCTCGGAGTCGCCATCGATCATATTTTGTGGTGGATCGAACACCATTTGACTCTATTTCAACCATGGAGTCGAAACCGGGATTTGGTCTGCGAATTTTTGAGTTGGGTTCGGGAGTACGGTTACGTGTGGGGAAGTGTATTCACACCCCACAACGCCCAAAATTGGTACTACTTAAATCGATAAGTTTTTAAGGGTTAGGTGTATTATAATTTGTGCCTTATTTACATATTTAATTAATTGATTTGATTAATTACATGTTTGTTATTAATAGTTGATCATACGTCTATTAACGTAATTCTCAAAATTAAAGAAAGAGTTTTTAGATTAGTTGGACTCGAACCTATTGGTTGCCTACGTACCCGAGTAGTCGGGATCAAAGTCCACGTAGTTCGATCGGACTTTGAAAATTTTAAATAAAGTTATTACCACATTCCACTAACCGTGGTTCTCGTATCAAAATTTATTGTTAGTAAAATTTAATTTGATTATTATGAAATTATGAAAAGAGAATATAATGATTTAAATTATTAGGAAGAGGCTTGACTCGTATTGGAAAAGAAACGGGGTAAACTTAATCCGCATTTAACAATTCGTATTAAGGATTTTAAATGAATAAAACTATACGGGATTATAAAATTATCGCATGAGGGCCAGCAGCCCAACTGGCTTAAACGCCAGATCAAATTCGCGTTTGACAGAGGGAACAAGGGTTCGAAACGCGCTAACTACAAATTTTTTTCTCTTTTTAGAGCAGAGAAGGGGGAAGGGTATTGTGGTAATTACCCAAAAACGCGGTGGCACAGCCGCGTTAATATTTGGAAACCCTAAGGGCAGTTTTGTCATTTCACACTAAGGGGTATATATTCATCTTTTAGGTCGAAAAAATCAACCCTATTCGACCTAGCGGCCGCCGCTCTCTACCATCACTCTCGCCTCTCTCTCTCTCTCTCTCTCTCTCTCTCTCTCGTTTTTTCATCTGCAGAAAGAACACAAAAAAAAAAACCAACACTCTCCTCCCCTCCCTCGTCTCTCTCTCATTCTCTTGCTCTCGCCTCTCTTCTTCGAACCAAAACCCCTCTGGGTTTTCACCGCCGCCAGCCTCTTCTTCTTCCTTCCCTTCCCCGATCAAAAATGCCGCCGCTCTCCTCTCTGCGAAAACCTAACCGCCGCCGCTCTCCCTCTCTATCTCGCCTCTCTCTCACCTCTAAAAACCCAAAAAACCTAGCCTAAACACACCCCAAATGGTCGCCGTTGCTCTCTTTCTCGGCTGGCCAAGGGAATCGCTCGCATCAAGTTAAATCGACCTAGAAGGTCTCGATCTAGGTAAGATCCTAGACATGCATGCTCTTTTTTAATTCGTTTTAGGCGATTTCTGTTTTTATTTGGGTTTTGGGGGAGTTCGGGTTCTCACCGTTCTTCTTTTTCTGGGTTTTGAGGGTCGGATCTGGGCGAAGGACGAAGACCGGCGGCGACAGGCCGACGACAACACAGGTAGGTTTTTTTTTGTTTTGGTAATTTTTATTTTTGGTTTATGAACCCTTTAATCGACCCTGACTTCTATTTTTGTTTTGAAGCAGGTCTTAAGACGAAATTGATTAGGTGAGGTTCCCTAAATTTGATTGGTGATTATTTTGTGAATCTGGAAATGATTCACAAATCTGGTATTTTGGAAAAATGTTTGTGTATTTGGCGACTTTTGGGACTTAGGGGGTTGGGGATGGTGTGTTGATTTTGTTGTTCTATTACATTTCCAATATGCATGATATATTTTTATGTATGTGCAAAAATAATGCTAGAATTGAAATATGACATATATGAAATAAATAATAAATAAAAAAAAGTATAAGTAGCATAATAAATAAATAGTAATTAGTTTAATGTTAAAGGTAAAGATAGTAATAAGTTGTTATGAGTAATTAGTTAGTAAAGTAAATGTGCTTGAAATGGGTAGATAAATGGATTGAAAATGAAACAAAGCTAAAAGGAAGAGCTGAGCCTGATAATGTAAATGAGATTGGTAAAGTTTGGATTGATTTAAGTTGTGATTTCTCTTCTAAAGACAGTTTGGTCTTGTTGTAGTTTGAGTTGATTGATTTTTAAAAGCATTGTGAAGAAAGATAAAAGAAAGAGATGCTAATAATGACAATATTAGAATGGTATTGACAAAAAGAGAAGAGTAGTAGAGAAGAGAAAAGAATAAATCAACAGCATATTATTATAACTGGAATGTGAATATGGTTTTGCTCAATACAAACCTCTTCTGTTTGGCTAGAGGCTTTCTATTTGACAGAATGAAGAAAGGAAAAAGAAAGAGTGTTTGCGTTTCTCTTTTATTTTCCCCAGCACTTCCCCTCCCTCTAAACTGACTAAGAAGCCAACAAAATCTCTGAAATGACTGAGAGAGAATTGACAGTGTTTTTCCAAGTGTTTTTCCCCCTCCTCCAAAAGCTGTCCTCCTTCTCTTGAAAGTTGGGCCTCCATTTATAGAAAAAAGAGGCGGTGGTGTCTGGGTTTGGCCAGACCACTTCTGGTTCGACCGGTCCGTTGGTCGGTTGGAGTGGTTGGGCCAACTTGGGTCGCTGGCATTGGGCCATGCATTTGGACTTGACCATCATTAACCTTGGGCTGGGTTTTAGGACCTAAATTTCAGACTGGAAATCTGGGCTTGAACTGTGGGCTTGTCTTAATCTTGGCCTGATCTGACTTGGCTCCTTTCTTGTTGTTTGGCAGGTCCATTGCTAGTTTCAAAAAGAGAGGGAAGAAACTTGCATTGATTGCGATTTTCATGTAATAATTGTGATTTAGTTCTGATTGTAAATTGTGATTTGGTAATAATTTTAATAAAATGTGCTACTTATTCTTAATTTTTTTTTGTCTTGTGCCAAAAGCATAAATTGGTAGCCAATCGATCCTATTAGATCCACTGGAACCGAATTCGAATAAATTATACAATCGTCGATATTTTAGACTCGCACTGGCCAATCTAATTATCTTATGACATTTAAAGATTAATTAGAATTTATAGTTGAGTAATTGACCCGGACAAAATGGGGTGTCTACAGTTGCCCCCCTTGTATATCTCTTTATGTTAAGAGTTATACAAAGTTCCCGTATAGACACCACATTTTCTCAGTTCAGTGGAGGATTATATTTTGATGGTGAGGTATTTTTCGACAATCGTCATCGCCAATTGTTACATTTTCTCGATGATGACGTAAATGAAGCGCACGTCAACGCTAATTGTTTTTTCTGATGATGACGTAAACGAAGCGCACGCCAGCGCTAACCTTTGAACTCTTTTGAAAATGACGTAAACGAAACGCACGTCCGCGCTAATTGTTGGGGTTTCCTGATGATGACGTAAACGAAGCGCACGTCAGCGCTAATTGATGAGTTTTCCTTATGATGACGTAAACGAAGCGCACGTCAGCGCTAATTGTTGAATTTTTTATAATTAATTGTTTTATGCTTATTAGCATTAGTGTACTTATTTTTATGCTTATTTTGATGGTTAATTGTTTTATGCTTATTTTTCAGGCGCTCTCCAGCACCAGTGTACTTTTCGAACGCTCACCAGCGTCGGTGTCGTATTTTTCAGGCGCTCGCCAGCACCAATTTAGTATTTTTAGCGGTAAAATCAAGCTAATAATTTTGTAACGACATTGTACTCTAATTGTTTGTGATAGAAATCAATCGAAACAATGAGAAAAACGACAACAATGAAATCAAGCTAATCATTCTGTAAGGAAGTTGTACTCAAATTGTCTATGATAGAAATCAAATCGAACAATGAGAAAAAATGACATCGGTAAAATCAAGTTAATCATTTTGTAAGGACGTTGTACTCAAATTGTTTATGATAGAAATCAATCAAACAATGAGAAAAATGAAAGCGGTAAAATCAAGCTAATCATTTTGAAAGGACGTTGTACTCAAATTGTTTATGATGGAAA